CTTAATGGAAAAAGCTTCAACTTTTTGATCGAGGTAAAAAATCACTTAGAAAAGTTTTTCGCTGAAAAACCTGAGAGATTCTGAAAGGACGGAATTTTCAAGTTGCCTGAAAGATGGAGAAAGGTAGAACAGAATGGCACCTATATAATTTAATAAATGTATACTAAAATTTAAATCTGCGTTTCAATTTTCCTTCAAAATCGGCACTTTCCGGACAATCCAATATATGGTATATATAAATAAAGACATATTTTCCAAATATTCAAGAGCCTTGGTTTTTCAAATACAAAGTTCTTAATTTTTTATTTATTATATAATTTGTGAAATATTCGAATTATTCCAGAATTTCATATATTCAAAATGATTCAATATGTTTTATATTAGATCCATCACTATTTGTGCATGTTGGATTAACGCGACATTTATTCATGATTCCCCTCGTATGATCACTTCGATTTAACCAGTAAGCTTGCATCCCACGTCGCTACGCGCTTATCATTATCGGTTTGTCACTCAATACTTGTCCCGCGGACATTCGCGTATGCTCCTATTGTGCCAATATGCGTTTTCCCGCGCGCTCATCAAAATGCTTCTGCAATCGGAAAAAATGTTCTCCCTTTGGTTGAATTGTTTTAAGCATTCATGTATATTTATGTTCTTGTAATTCACGTAAATTATAATCGACAGCAAAGAAAAAGTTTACAAATAGATACGGGAAGATATTGATAAATTTTCGCTCTTAAAATTTAACTTTTATTCAACTTTTATCGATTTTGAGAGAGGGTCCCATTTCTCTATTGTTTTCCCGTCGCTACTATCATATTAGATCGTAACATTATAAGCGAGAAATGATGTGTTGAAGTTCCTTGCATGCTATTGGTAAATAAAGAGAATTTGTATAAAATAAAATAATGAGATTACTTTTTAACATTTGTAAAAATGATCGAAAGCTATCTTTATCTGCCCTGATAGTCAATAAATAGTCCTAAAAAGCATATGATATTATTTGCTTAATGTGCATGCGTCGCTTATTTTTATTTCGTGTCTTTTATGACTATTTGTTATTTATCCTAATCATAGATATAACTGTTATAATTGATATAACTACTAACATTTATATATTATGTAGTTGTTATATTCATGATTTGCTAGGAGGGCAAGTAAGAATAGGAGCTTTCGATCATTTTTATAAGCATCTTAAAGTGATCTGATTATTTTATTTTATTCACATTTTTTATTTACAAATAACATATGTGCAGAAAAGATTTCTATATTCAATGCTATTACTTCTCGATATAGAGCCAATCATATTTATTCTTTAGAAAAAAATATTTTATTCTTAGATGAAAAATTCTAAAATCTAGAATAAAATATTCTTAATGCTATTCATCCCATTAATTTTCTTAATAGAAAAATTTAGGTTGAATATTCTTTATTTAAACACTTGATCTAAAGAGAATCTCTCTTATCTAGTCTTGTGAAAAGAACTTTACAGAATGTTAGTAATTTTACATTTTTTGGCAATGAAAAACTGGGCTCGGCCAGAACTTTTGTTTGTATAGTAGACAAACTATGATATCAGAAGCAAAACATTAAAATTTTTCTTGCAAAATGTCGAAATAAATAATATAACTTTTTTTGCATATTACTTTTCGTATGTTACTTTTTATAGGGATAAACTAATACAGAATACTGAAGAAGAAAATCAAATCTTTATGAAAAAATGCAAAAAACAAGACTAAATACCGATTTTTTTTCCAAAAAAGAGGATATCACAAATTGTAAGAAAAAATACGTTATAACATTTGATTTAAAAAAATGTAATTATTTCAATGAATGAAGTTGAAGTATTTTGAGATATGCTCATCGAATGACATCATCATCGAATGATATGCTTTTCTGAAAATAGCCACTATTTCTATTTCTTTTCGAATGCGTACACTTGTCTTTATATTTTATCACAAAAGTTAAATAAAAATTTTTAGCATTTCAAATAATAAAATATTAATTTTATAAAATATCAATTAAATATTTTGCAAAAAATTCATCATTTTTTACTTACGATTTTACTCTATACGAAGTAAATACAGCTAACAGTCATTTTTCACATTTTCATCTTTAAAAAACATTTTCTATAAACAAAATTATTTTTTTCAATAAATATTCAATTGCAAATATTGATGAAGAACTTACGAATCTACATCATCCGATTCCAAACTAGATTTTTCAAGCATTTTTTTCCCATTTGAACATTCAAGTAAAATACCGCCATAAAATATGGCGATTATTAGGGGAAAGTTCAAAATGAATTTAGCTACAATTGAAAGTCTCAACCATATATGAAATGCCAATTAATTAAAACTTTTTTCGGATCTAAAAGATCTATGATGCAATCAAGGGTTAAAGATAAATACAAATTGATCAAAAAATCTATTATTAAAAAAAGTGTATGGAATGGCAATTTTGAAACTAACACTCTTTAAATCACATTTTCCTAAATAAAAATAAAAATTTTGGCTCACAAGTAGAAATCATTGGACGCAATTTTTCTGATCATTGATTCGTCATTCATGTGTAATCAAAGAGTACACGATTTGGATAATTTTAGTGACATTGATTGAATTATTTGTATAATTATATCTTGCAAAAAACAATATGAACAATTCTAGATGATTCTATAAGTTCGAGCTATCGAATTATAAATACTATTAGTTTCATAATAGAAAATATAAAATTTTCATACAAAAATTATAATATATTAATATACAAAATTTGTTCTTATGAAATTATGTTAAACATTTAAGTACAAATTTTTTCTGATATAAGTTCATTTAACTTTAATAAAATCCATGTAATACACGCTCAATTAATAATAATAATAATAATAATAATAATAATAATAATAAGTTAATATTAAATTAATTAATTTAATTTTGAATTAATTTAATTTCATTATTTAAATTCAATCCATTTTTGTTAATAATTCTAAAAATTATTTGCTCAATTTGTTTTCATCATTATTCTTAGCGTTTGGAATACTTTTGAAAAGTATTGTTATATCGTATCATCAAAGAGTTATCAGAATCTTCCCAATCGTAGGAACAAGGAATGAAAGATTTTAATGACACGCGATGAAGTTCAGCGCTTGACTTTCAGGCGACGCAACACGACACGCGAATTCCGCATGACTCATGGACGGATAATTCTCGGCAAGCGTTTTAGCTTGATATCAGTTTACGTCGATGACTAATCACGTCACTTGTGCGTTTGTTTGGGTCTCTAGTTGGCAATATGGTGACGATAAACATTTTTTCTAAGAATTGAGGCACAAGACGTCTCTTTACACATTTTCATAATTGTTCAATTGCGTTCGAGTCTGAGTACATTGCATATTTGTTTTTGACAATCAACTGAAAACGAGTACAAAATGCTAGTAACTTAATTTGCTATTAAAAATGATATGTAAATTTATTAATTATTTTTTAAATTTATTAACTATTATGTGATTTAGTATGTACAGAAAAAATATTTGATTTTAAAAAACACAGCTATGTCATTAGTCTCTATATGTATAGGAAGTAAAAATTGATTGAGAATATAAATTTTATTTGTTGAAAATAATTCTATGCTAGTCTCTGTAAATTATTGTAATTCTAATAACAAATTGTTTTACTTGGTATAACAAAACATATTTATTTTAATAGCAGATTAAATTTGCTTTAGAAGCAGATTCATTCTTATAAACAAAATTATTTAATAATGAATTGTATTTTTCAGTATAATTCATATTTGCTGTAATATCAAATAATTGATAAAATTTTTACATCAAATATATAACAATTACAGTTTGCTATAACAGCAAAACTTTTTCTTTGCGGATATAGCTTCTAATTATTATTTAAAGAACTGAAAGAAAATAGAAATACGATACTTTTTTATTATATTATCTTTTGTTATATTTTTAAAAATTAGACACTTGACTTTATTCACGCGATTACTTGTTAACAAGATAATTTCAATGTAGATTTCCATTTGAAAATTTGAAGGTGATTTTTATATAACTTTAATATCATTAGCCAAGGTCACATTGGTATTTTTGTTTAATGCGCCACTTCAAATTTTATAAATATATATGAAGTATGAAACATTTCTTTCAGAAACGCTTAATTTTTAAATCTTAAAATTCCAGCACTTTTCGGATATCCTGTATTAGAAAAATCTAATCATTTAAATTAACAACGAATTTGATTGAATGCACTTAATACACATTAGTGCTAAAATCGTCACACAAATTGACGTAAAAATGTGTTCTTAATATATTCATGCACGATTACGGAGCATGCGCAATGAACCGCTGTACGTGCGAATGAATCAAGTGCTTGCTAAAACGAGATAGCAACATTTTGGTTGGCGCATGGCTACTCAACATAGCTAAACGAAGCACGAAGCGGTTCTCCACACGCGCATTGTGATCATGTACGAATGTCCGAACTTTATTAATAATATTTCTATGTACATTTTAAATGCATTTTTTTCAGTTTTTTTTTAATTGCGCGCCGATTACTGGGTTAAAAATGCAACGCAATCATGGGGTGCGTTCCAAATTGCGCATGGCGTATCATTGTTTTGAATAATAAAGAAAATTATAATATATAGATGCATCATGCACTTTGATCAAAATGTTAATAGTATCTTAAATAACTTATTGCGAAAAATATTATATAACGTGTCGCACCAACGTTGCGACTGAAATTTTAATTCTCAATATTGTATACTTCTTTAGAAATTTAAAATAACGGATAAACATAAATAAAAAAAAAGTCTTGTGACAAAATATTGCTTCTATAAGACAAAATATGTTTAATTTGCAAAGTATTTTTTTCACCGTATTTTTTTTATAATTATAATCTTACTATCGCAAGTAAGAATGAGTGCAGAAACGAGTGTAAGCTTAATGATGTCCCATAGTCTACTAACCTGCAACTTGCTTTCTGTTACAGTAACCTCTGGGACCCAACATAAATATCTAATATTAATAATAAACGATACGATCGATTATTTTAATGAACAGCGAATGGAACATGCGCCATACCGCACGAGTTGCCCCGGAATTGCCGCACGCCCTGCCGCGCGACTCACGATGAAAATGCAGTGACAACAGCAGCAACAGCAGTAACAAATATACAGCCGAGAACAGCGCATCTACCATTACTGCTCCAGTCATTATTCTTTTCTCAATTTTTGTTTCTTTGACGCGACGTAGAGAACGGAAAGAAAGACACGCGCGAGTTCATATTAAATATTACTGAGTAAACGCACGTACCATATATACAACGACGCAGCCTTCTCCTTCTTCCTCTTTTTCCTATGCTTTTTATCATACATTTTTATCATAAACCTGTATTGTTTCTCTCTTCTCCTTTCGTTCTCCGTTCTCTTGTCTTCTCGATCATACACGTATACGTACTTAAGCATCATAGATACATGTGAATAGGTATACGCGTGTCTCGTGTTCTGTCATCGTGTTATGTCCTGTGACGCGTACGAGCGTCGGAGATTGTGGGGAAACTTCGGCGTCTTATCGATATCGATACTAATATCGATGTCATTTGCCACATCTGCTCTCTATCTGCTCCCAACCCCTGTAATAATCGCGCAGCAATGCGAGTTTCGACGGCTGTGACGCGCGAGAGAGATGCGAGATCACATCTGAGACGCCGACGCGTCGCGAGGAGTGATGACAAGAATCGATGACGGTTTTGACGATCGATCGGTGGGAGAACCGCCGCTATCCGTGTGAGAGCTGATGACGCACGTTACAAGACGTCATCATAGACATCATAGCATCGAAGTATAATGGCTACATTCAGTAGAGAAAATCAGTTGACGCTTAGTGATTCTTTGATATGATCGGCTTTTACCTTTAGTTCTTTACTGGATCTAAAAATCAGAAGGAACCAGTCATATCTCAAGAATCATTCAATGTTAACTGATCAATTTTCTCTGCTGAACGCAGCCCATAATACTGGAACGAGCGCTGACGCTAGTTTCTCGGGTAAATATTAAGAATACCCCAGTCATCTCAAATTTTGATATGAAAATCAAGTTCATATCACACTATTTCATAGTTGACAGATTTCCGAACAGATTTCCTGAATAATTGTCAACTTTAACTTTTTGAGATTAATATCTCAGTTTGCAGGATAAAGCGACACTTTTTTCTTATCAAATCTTTATTTTTACGGGAAAATGCATCGATTAAGTATATTTTTATCACAATTTAAAACGACAGAGGTATTCTTAATGCTGATTCTACATTGAGTTGGTAGTCTGAAGTCTTAATCTTAATCGATGGAGTTGGCCAAATCAGCATTACTCGTACAAGTTGGCTATTGATCAACTTCACCAATAAGACTTAGGACTACCGACTCATTGTAGAATCAGCATAACAGTTATCATTTTATGAACTGACGAAGAGGATTCTATGTGGTCTTTGTCTTTTTAATGTAACTTGGCTAAAAGTTTCAGTACTACAAATTGGCGCCGAATTGTCTCTGGGAGATGTATATTGCATCAAATTGAAACAAAAGATTAGATTAAATTAAAGGATCTAATCTATACTTTAATGAAATATATTTAACGTATATATACTATAACGTAAATATATAAACTTTAAATATATTATTAAACCTTTTTTACAAGAATGTATTCTATTATTTACTGCACTTGCGCAGTATAAGTAGAAAAGGATCAAGATCCACTTGGAACACTCTTGGATCACTTATAAATATTCTCTCTTGGGATGCACTGGATAGCCTTGCACTGCATCAATTGTATGTAAGCACTGTATTGAAATAGTATACTACTTCATTATTGCGCTAAAATCTTGCTCTTATTTGATTTCTGTTTTCAAATTTTAAATGTCAATCGCTCTACACCGTTTTTTTGAGACGGTGTAGCAAAATCGTATTTTATATATAAAACATGCATCACCATCATGCCACGGAAGCACGTTAACACCGAATGAATTTACCTATCACTTGTCATGGAAACATGCTACACTATCTAAGTGTTGCATTGGTGGGCAGTGCAGTCAAGGGAAAGTGCTATTAATGAAGGTGGCATAGAGTAGAGTCACGCTCGTTTCAGTATTATATTTTAGTACATCATAGACATTCGTAAGCGATGCGAGTGCATGGTTTTTTTGATTGAAAAAATGTGGCGTATGATGATCTTTTGCGTGAAGATCTCACTATTATGGATTCAGGAACGGTGGGATGGGCAAATTAGGTTTGAAATCTGGCATGCCTTTGTCATAAAAAAATTAAGACCCGACCAACGTTATTTTGACTTTAAGCAAGGCTCGAAACTCTCTACTTCTATATCTCCTTCTCTCTCGGCTTTAAGTTCGATTGCACCAACGTTAGTTTAACTTCAAACGAGGCTTAAAACTCTCTCGTTCTATGTCTCTCTT